TTTTTACATTTTTAATAATTATTATTATTTGGGCTTTGGTGTTAATATCCTTGCACGGTGGATTTATTGTACTGCTTTTTCATGGCTGTTAATCAGCATTCACAGAACAGGTTTCTATTTATTATGGTCATTTGTATTTACTACCGCTTCTGGCAACTCTGAGAGATGCTCAAGATTGCTGCCAGGCTCCAGGGAAGAGGGTTCCCCAGGCTCGGTTGGTATGGCGGCGTGAGGCCCGAGTTAGGACTCACGGCTTTGGATCTCCCACCCCTGAACCCCGCTCAGCTGGCTCACGCCTCCTGTCTTCCTCCTGCCCTCCCCCCATGCGAGCACTCTTGGTGGTGGCAGAGCAGGTGATGGAGCACCAAGAGCTGGAAAAGGGTCTTTGGCCTTAGAGAAAGGACTGCTTGAAGGGAGAGATGGTTCCCTCCCCCCGGCAGCTTATTCAAACTGATGAAACTTTCAGCATCCCTGGTAACATAAGAAAAAGTGTTACGCCATCACCCTTCAGTTAGGCAGTAGGGATGTCAGTGCCAAGTTGTGCTTGGTCAGCACGAGGGACATTTGAGGGAGGTTAAAAAAATATAGTATGCATACATATAGACGTACATATACAAATGAATATATTTATTATTCTGAGGTGGGAAAAGATGATTGTAGGGTAAGTGTAAAGATGTTTACAAATTTATTTTATTCAGAACCTAGGCTTCAATCCTACCTGTAAACCTGACTTCACACTTGAGTTTTTCCCCAGTGTTAACCAGTCCTGATATAGAGGGCGAGGATCATGGGATTTACATCTAGAACAGTTAAAATAACAACTCTGTGTCATTGCACAGGTGTGTGGCTGGGAGGAAGGAAGATGTTATACGGATGAACGCAGGGCAGCACTTTCGCAGTGTAGGACCTGGAAGCCTCCTAGCCAGGGCCGTGTTTCTTTACCTGGGGGTTCCAGACGCCTGGAGGGAGGGGCTGCACCAGTGGCCGCTGTCGCCGAATGCACACGGACACCACGCATCATCGTGAGCTAAATTAGCGATGACGAGTCAATATATTGGGCACTTCCTGGGTGCCAGGTACTTTGCACGCATTGCCTCTTTAGCTCTTACCACAGACCTGGGTTGCAGTTACTAGTAGCATTCCCACCTTCCAGATGAATACTGGGCTAGCCTTACAGGGGGGGAATAACTTGCCCAAAGTCATGTAGGAACTTTAGGTAACAGTTGGGTTATGGGAACATTTTGAGGTTGAAAAGGGATGTTTTAATTTAAAAGGCTGGAATGACAGTTAGGTCGTAACTTGCACACTAATGCCAGTTCATGAGCAATGGCCATTTCTGGTGGGAAGGCCGGGAAGGCCATGCCCCGGCGCAGTGGGAAAGGCGGCTGTGGGCAGTCTTGCTGGGGCGGGGGGGGAGACATGGGGGTACGAGTGCTGTGTATTTGCAGGCCCTGTTCAAACTGTGTTGTGAGAAGAGCCTCAGAATTCATGGAGTTTACCAAAGAGGAAACCCCAACCTGGGAATGTTTCACTCATGTGATACCATGCCTCTGGGACATCTTGTTTAGAACCCGGGTCTCCCGGCTCCCAGTCTTTAGCACTATGGGTAAATCCCAAAGTCTCTTTTAGATGAGAGGAGGCGATTCTCAAGCCGTCCTGCACTATTTTCTGGTTAATCCTCACCCGAGGATATTTTCCCATTGATTTCCTCACAGAGTGGGAGGGAGGGAGGGAGAAGGGGGAGGGGAGAGAGAGAGAGGGGGAGAGAGAGAGAGAGAGAGAGAGAGAGAGAGAAACACGGATGTGAGAGAGACACATCAGTTGGTTGCCTCCCACACAACCCCAACCAAGGAGGCTAGGGATCAAACCTGCAACTGAGATACATGCCCTTGACTGGGAATTGAACACAAGACTCTTTGGTCCGAGGGCCAATGCTCAAACCACTGACCAAACCTCCAGGGCCTTTCCTGCACTTTTAAAATAGCTCGAGAGTAAAAGACTGCCAGCCAGATCCTCAGCCTCACAGAGCCGCTCTGTACAGAAAGCCGGATTAGTTCTTGCCGACTTCAGCGTACCTGGAGCACACTTCAGGAAGGATGCCCTGTGGAGTTCCCCGGCGACATCCAGCACTTTGGCTCGATGTTGACAGAGAACCCACTCTGGACATAGAGGAGAGGGAATGAGAGCTGTTCTCCAAAGCCCAGCAGCTTAGAGGGAGATGTGGGGAGTGGTTGAGGAGCAAACTCTGAAGGACTTCACTCCAATGGGAGTGGACTTTGGAAACAACAGAGACATGGATCCTTTTCATATCCCTTGGGCCACGCTTTAGTATTCACAAATAGAGGACCTCATGGGCTGCGTGGATGTTCCTGGCAGTCATCACACAGCGGAGCTCCCCACCGGGTAAATGAGACCATTTATAGCTGTGATCACCTCTTCCTTTGTCGGCCTCTCTCACCGGCTGCTCCCCCAACACCAGGCTCTTGTTCTCCAGGCGAACCTCTGGGTACCATTATCATCCCCACATTCATAACAGCCATAGGTGCCATTCTGCATGGACAGAGAGGTCCTCAGCAGGAAGCCAGCACATTGGACGCCACAGACTCCTGAAGATAGACTGCATTTTTGAGAGCTTAGAACAATCAGCTCCAGTTTTTCCTTGAATATTACGTGAGGCAAGTGTGATATGTTTTGCCTATTGGTCTTTGCCTCAAATTATATGCTGTGAGCCCACTGACTTTTCTTGACACCTGGGCAGAGCACCTGTGCCTCTGGGATTTTTCTCATCTCCTTTTCCAGTTAAAAGTACTAAACAGGGTCATCTGAGTATCCAGAGGAGTCATCACATGATACATTTTCCTCAATCTACTCTGATTCCAGTCTCTGTTATTGTAGACACACGTTCTGAAAGCATCCTCTACCTGTAGGGCCCGCGGCGGTTGCTAGTATCCTATCAAAGCATTGCACACCCTGGCAGATGAGTTTCACCCCCTTCTTGTGTTTGTCTTCGACCCAGTGCAAAGTCCTTGGCTCAGCAAGGATACCCCCGGGGAGCCATGCCTTAAATGTTCCTATAACCTCTTCTGCTTTGGCTCTGCTCATGCTCCTGAGTGTGGGGCTGCGAGAAAGATCGAGGACACTGTGTCAGTCACATTCCTTCCATTCCTGTGTGCTGATGCACGGGTGGGCAATCAGAGCAACACACTAAGGTAAAATGCTCCCAGAGAATGCCACTTCTGATTCTGAAGCCCATGGCGAGCCCACAGGTGGTCTGTTCTTTGCAGAGGAACAACAGCTCTTAGAAGGGGACATTTTGTTTCTTGAAACTGAAATTGTTTTAAAAATGTGGACAGAATGATTAGTCACGTGGAACCCAAATCTCCTGATATTCACTGCACTGCATTGAATCCAGCACAGATGCATTTGCAGGTGTAGTGACCTTCTGCTTCCAATGAAGCTATCTGTGGGCCAATGAAAGCATTCACCTCAAGATGCCCTCTGCATTCCCTGGTTCATAGATGCACTAGTCTGGACAATGGGACTCGCGAGACAGCAAACCACAGGGTAGGGCCGCATGCCCTTTCTCTTGCCCATCAGTCCTCTGGGTCACAATTAGATTTGCAAACTGAGGGAACCACAGCCTTCGTCGTGGGAGGCTGCAAAGCATTCCGTTGTTGGGGAACGCACCAAGAATGCTGAACAGGAGAGGTGTTCAGCATTTCTCCAGGAAACCTTAGCCGTTAGCGATTGAGAAGGAGAAGAATGCTTTGGGCAGAAGGCAGAGGCTGGAATGGAAACCACGGAGCCCAGACCTCTCGTTGCAGTCGAGGAAATGAAGGCACAGAGGGGTGAAGCGATGCCAAGGGTACCCGTTCGACAGCAGCAACACCTGGACCAGAGGCCAAGTTTCCGGACTCTCAGATCAAGGCAGTTTCTCTTCTTTTCTTTCTCTCCCAACCAATGTACCCTTGAAATGAAGGAAGGGACAGAATCCGGAGGTGTATTTATCAGAATATAGTTCACAACCACTTATGTCTGAGTCCCCTTGGCTGCCTTTAAAAGACAGATTTCTGGGACTCATCCAGACCTACCAAATAAAATCAAGGCCTGGGTACCGGCATTTTCACGAGCTCCCTAGTGATTCTGTGCACGTTCCGTTTGAGAATCATCGATCCAGGGTCTATAAATAGGCACGGGGCCCATGGCAGGAAAAGACCACGCACTTTTAGCATCACTGAGTGTATCCTGAGACTCCAGTCCTTCGTGTTCCTTGCTGTTGCTCAGACCAGTCATGTGTTGAGCTGAGGGGAACTGATGCAGGTTCGAAGAGTGAGTGCCCTGGCTTCCCTGTTTTCCTAATGCCCACTCTGGGCATAGCTACAGCGGTTAATATGAGCTATTTTGTTCCCACCCGGAAATATTTATCTGCTGTAGATTGCTCTGCGGTACTCAGTGGAAGGTAAATGAATGCTTTGCAAATGTCCTCAAATATGCAGGCGCACCCCAACTCTGCTGACACAAAGTACCTGCCCTCAAAGTGTCTCCCGATGAGCCCGCAAATATTTTAGTCAGAGTCCCAATTACCTCTCCACGCAGGTAATTATTACTTCTGCCATTTAAGTGAAATTTCAGTACATTGCTTGTAGCAATCCACTTAGGACCGTATTTATGCGATCCCTGCTTCTATTCATGGCATAGATTTAAAATTCCGTTGCTGTTGGGACACAGCTCAGAGTGGTTTTTCAGTGTGAATTTGGCTGATAATAAGGAAAATAATACCATAATCTCATTATTTTCCTTCAGGACTTAACAGACTTAAAATCGACAGCAGCAACAAAAACCCCTAACACTCGATTTACCCTGCATAGGGAGAGACGCATGTCCCGTGGCAGACTCGGACCCGAGCAGCTCTGTGGACGGGCTGAGCTGTGCGTGGGAAGGGGCGGAGGCTTCGGAAGCCCCCCGGGGGAGATTCACGGGTTTCGCTGTGTGTTTTCCAGCATGCTCTTTCCGACGAGGCTCGCGTGAGAGCCTTCGACCCAAAGACGACGTGCTTACAGGAGTGCCTTATCACCACCTTCCAAGAAGCCTACTTTGTTTCGGAAAGTTTTGAAGAAGCCAAAGAAAAGATGAGGTGAGTTTGTTTTTCTCCCATCTAGAGAAAATGTCTTATTTCTCTGGCTGTGTTTCTTCCCTCCATCCATCTCTTCTGCTGATGAGGGTCGAGTGCATACCCTTCTGTTTCTGTTTGCTTGGCAGGGACTTTGCAAAGTCCATCACCCGCCCCTTCTCAGTATACTTCAACCCCTACACACAGAGTGTGGAAATTCTGAAGGACACCAGGAGCATTGAAAACGTGGTGCAGGACCTCCGCAGCGATCTGAACACCGTGTGTGATGCCTTGAACAAAATGAACCAGTATCTGGGGATCTGACGCCTGGGACCAGCGTTGTTGCCAGCGTCGTCTGTTGGGGGCTTAGTGTCAATGTCATATAAGACCAATAACTTTCTGTGTCATGGCTTGGCTAGTAGGCATGCAATTACGTGTATCTCTACCTACTTGTAACTTCCTGTGCTAGTGACAGGTCACCACTCATCATATGAAAGATTGTAATACGTTTAAATGTCTTAAATCGGTTTGACATTCCTGCTTAGTGTCTTTAACCAAATTGCATCTATTTAAAATTTGTAACGCGCAGCCCTCTTAGGATTCTAGGTTTTGACCTCCTCTTTCTCAGATCGGCCATTAGATACAATGAAAAGAGCGGTGTCACTGTTTCCGTTTGCCATAGTTCTGATACCGATATCCCGCAGCATCACTGGAGATAAACCCAGAACCGTATGAAACATCCCATCACATTAACAAGGATTCACTATTCTGTTTCAGAAATTGTTGAGGTAACACACTAGCAGTGGTTCTCAACCTTCTCAATGCCATGACCCTTAAATACAGTTCCTCATGTTGTGGTGACCCCAGCCATAAAATTATTTTTGTTGCTACTTCATAACTGTAATGTTGCTACTGTTATGTTTTAGGTGACCCCTGTGAAAGGGTCGTTCGACCCTTTAGGCGACCCACAGGTTGAGAACCGCTGCACTAGGGAGACTGACGTTTAGGTCGAGTATTTATACAATGGAAGAAAGCTGTAGAAATAAATAGAAATGGGATATGTAGGGTGCACTGACCTTGGAGAAACCGACTTGTGGCCTGCTTCCCAACGCATTTTGGAAGAAAATACTTCCAGAAAGGACATTAGGAAAGATGAAACAGTGGGTCATAAATCTTTAGACTATTAATTTTATGCTGGAAGAAAGTGAATTATTATGCTCAGGTGTTTAACCCATTTCTTTTAAAGGGCAATAAAATCATAAGGCTTTGCTTTCAAAGATGGGGAAATTGAGTCTCAGAGAGGTGAAGTGATGTGGTTGAAACAGCACAGCAGGTTGTGCACCAACATTCAGTCCATTGCATATTGCTTTTGAACTGCAAAGAAGCTTGACTTGGTATGTGCATGTATTCACATGGTCAGCGAAGGCAAACTAATGCTTTTCAAAATGAATGTTGTTCACTAAGTGGGAGTTGGTTTGTGATTCAGACTTGCCAACAGGACAGATACTTCCCCTCACAGGCCCAAACCAAGCCAGATCTCTGGGAGTCTGTCTATTTGCCCAAAGTTTGGGCACATTTGGACAAAAATATAGTAATAATATTAAAAATCTCTGGTCATGCTTGCCATAAGAGGTGTAATCAGGTGATTAAGTGAACAAAAGAAATAAATAAAACTGTGGAATAAGTGAATGAATTTCATTTTTTTCTGATTTCTTCAACAAACACAGCACTCTCCCCTCATTCTGCTTTGGTGGTACAAAATCAGAGGGGGAGGAAAGGGGAGACGAGAAAACGTAGAGAAAGAGAAGATGATGAAATGACTTTTCAGTTAGTAATTCTAAAATATTTCCTGGAGCAATTTCCAAGGATGTTCTTTTTAATAAGACATTGCATATAATTTCTGACTAATTCATACTCTTACATAGGTCCATGATGAGAAAGACTTTTTTTGGACTAAATATTTTTGGGAAGAACGTGAGGCAGACATACATCAGAGAGAAGGAAAATGAAAACGAAAAATCAGAGGTTTGAATAATGGTTATCTGAACTATTGAGGATCTTTCATTTCTGTAGGATTCTCAGAACAACTGGATCTTTAAGACAGGATTTGATGGATAGAATGTGAGAGTCAGGCAATGTAAATGCTGTTCCGAGGGAAAGACACAGTGACTTGAAAGATTATTGGTGGCAGAGAAAGTATGGGCACGCGGAACCAAATGAAAAAAAATCTAGAAAGATCAAGTAGTTGTGTCTTCAGTAATTGTCTAGATCCATAAATGCCTAGTTTCTTAGACCTTGCTTTGCTAGATCTGGATGATCTTGTGAAATTATTTACTTGTAAACACTGATCCAGAACAATCATCCAGAAATTTCCAGAATTAGTTGCTGAATTTTCTCAGAGGAGAGAACTGGCTAGAAAACAACGTCTCCTTTGTGTTGTTTCTATAATTCCATGTGGCTTTAGACATCATTAATAAATAAATAAAAAACCGTAAGTGGCCATCAAGCTTTTCCCTTATAGCCTCATGAAAGGGGGACCTCTTATTTAAATATTCTGAAGGAAGAATTATATTTAATTGTAAATAAGTTCCCTCAACAAAAATAACATTTGAGGGTCTCCTGATTGGCTTCTAATGGTATCTTCAGTTTTCTAACATGTGCAAAATCTATGTTGTTTCAAAAATAGAAGGGTCGCCACGTTAACAAGCTTTCCCACGGAGCTTATATAGGTACCACACAAGGAGGAGGAATTACTGTACTTGATTCTTTTTAGACTTGTTCTCCATTTGGAATAGCAGTTACCATGGTTTTCACCACGTGAGATGGTAGGATCCTGGTTTTTATTTGTTGTGAGCCTTTAACATGCAAATGCCATTTCAACTAATGGTGGGAATGATATAGGAATACAATAATCCTATAAAATTTAATAGCCATCATAGGAAAAATGTTGGCATAAAAAGTGCCCAAATGAAAACAGTACAACAAAGTAATCGCAGCCCATTTCTTGTCATCTCTGATACCTCTGCTCAGTGTAACCATTTCTCAGTTATGCCTCATGACCTAAAGCTAAAATAAATAGATCCAATGGCAGTTATACATTTAAATGCACTTGCTTACTGTCGTCTCACTATGAATCCCTACTTTATTTTGGCTCTGCCTCTGACTTCAGCAGTCAGCTAGTCAGAAATCAACCCAAGGTTCCTAGCAAGACCAGGTTTCCTACACATCACACTTTGCAAAAGACAGCCAGAATCTGATTCGTCCAGTCTCCTTTTTGAACCATTTTTTTATTTTTATTTGTTATGAGTTAGGGTCAGGCACCCCATATATTCTTGAATGAGCAGTTTATTTCCCATAATAAGATCATAATAGGTTGTTCATAAGTTGCATCTTTTACAAGTAGGGAACTTTGGTTCAAGATGGTTACAAAAAAAATTTTTTTTTTAACTTTAGTGGTAAGGGTTGTGAAATTGGGTTTCTGGCTTAGTATTTATTTACTGCGTAATTTAGAAATGATGCTTTATGGGGATGATATATTTGTGTCTGTCTTGCTTGCACATAGTAAATGGGCCTGAGCCTAATGAATGTCAAGCATTGCAACATTTACCAACATGGAAAGTCTAAAATGAGAAACAGCGTGCTTCAATGTGTGGGCAAATAGAAATACGAAGTTTCATTCTCAAATGGAGTCATGGCTCACATCATCTCATTTTCTTCCTCCGAGCTGGAAAACAGGCACACAAGATGCAGTCGCCCTCCAATTCATTTGATCTAATTTTCAACTTCTAAAGAATCCAGCGCTGATGCTCACTCTCATGAACCTTGTCTTACTTATAATGAAAAAGAAGGCAGCCCAGAGTTTCCAGAGCTTTCCTTTTTCTTCAGTTTCCAAAGACATTCTCTTATTTTGGGACATGATTCTTATGCAGATGACCATATTCTGGGAAGAGTCAAGGGAAGTAGCAATGGGATACAGCTTCTTCTAATATTAGATTTGCACGTGTTCAAAATAAACCCATTTTGAACATGAAATGGTGCTTCTTTGTAATGAGACTTGAGGTCATAACATTTACTCATTGGTTTGGACCATATCAGGGACGGTGTCAGACACTGTCCTAGACACTGAGGACCTAGGGGTGAATAAGACAGAGGCAGTGTATGCCTACTTCGAACTTACATTCTAGTGGAGAGATACAGGCAAAAAACTAGATTATTTGATTGAGATCCTGGCAAATTTTATGAATAAAATAATCAGGGTAATGTGATAAAGAACATGGGGAGGAGGGGTAAGGTGGGCAGGAAAGACCTCCCTGCACAGATGGCATCTGATGAAGAACTGTGGGACGGAAAGACGCCAAGGGGGAAGGGGCAGTGGAGAGAGTGTTCCTGGAAGAAGGAACAGCAAAACCAAAGAACAGCAGATCTGAACTGGATGTGTTTGAGGAAGAGATAGATTGCCAGTGGGCTGGAGAGGAAGGATAAGAGCAGCATGGGGCAAGGATGGATGATCCAGGGATCCAGAGGGGTCAGGTATACTCTAAATGTGGTGGGAAGTCTTGGAGGGCTGAAAGCAAGACAGTGACAAGATCTGATTTACATTTTTAAGAGGTTACTCAGGACGCCGGGTGGAAATGAATTGTAGGGGGGTTGGAGGGTGGGAGTTTGGACAAGACTAGAAGTGGTAAAACCAATGGCAATACTGGGATTTGCAAAGTCAATATCCTGGTGGCTCATGGTGGGCATTATTGGAAAGAGTTGTCATTAAACAGGTTACAGAGGTAAATGGGTGGGTCAGAACGTTCAGATGAAACATGAGGAATCTGAAATAATTGGGGTTGGTTATCATTTGGCGGGAGAAGCAGATGTCCAATAATATCCGGTGTCTTTCGCAAATACTTAAAGCTTCCTTTGTCGAAACAATATCATGCTCAACTTGCCCTGGCCATCTTTTAAGGACAAAAAGCCAGATTGGAAAGCAAATGCATTTTCTTCTTCTTCTTGTGACTCATAGATATTAACTGCATAAATAAAAATGAGGTAGAGAATAGGGAGTTCTTGGTGGAAGTTGGTGGTGCAGACACAGGGTGATTCAGGACGAAAAAAGCTTCTGCACCTCTGGGCAAACTACATAGTTGTGTTCACTCTGGCCTGAGCAGTAGGAAGAGGCCATGCAAATGTAGGTGAATTAGTTAAGTCTATCTCCACTCTTCTCCCTGCCTCCCATCTTCCCAAATGTACATTTCAGGTACCCCAGACAGGTTCACTTGCTGTGGTTTCTTCTTCTCCCCAAGAAGGATGGGTCTGCTGCAGCAGCTGGAAGTATATTTCCCTCTTTGGAAAGATCATTGTGAACCTGATGTTCAACCCAAGGGCACCTGTGGTTATGGGGCCTGCAAACAGCATCCTCGTAATCCAGTCTGGATACAGTTTTTATAATTGAACAACAAAAACACCCGACCGACGTGGGAGGGTAATTTGAAAGCTAGATGGCACAAAGAAATCAAGTTCATTTTCTGTCAAAATCAAAATCTTTTAAAAAGATGCAAAGCTAGTTTTCTCTGTAGAGAAAGATAACATTAATTATAGGAAGGTGGTAGAGTTTCCTGGTCCCTCCGGAACTTCTCCCAGATCTCTTGCAATGCCCTTACTCTTTAGATTGTTAATTTCCATAGAACTAGCAAGATGCTGATTCAGTAGATCTATTATTCCCAAAGGTATGCAAGCCACTGAACACATCTAATGTACAGCTTGCCCAATTTTCGTGAACAGCTAACTTCACAGACGTTAATGAGGCCAATTATTGGCAAGTGAATTTGAAGTGAAGAACCCA